AATCCTTTTTTAAGAACTTCGCTTCGTTGGTAACCCAAAGAAGATACAAAAATTGCAGGTTTATGAAAAAATGCTCAACATCACTAATCATCAGGGAAATGCAAATCAAAATCACAATGAGACACAGCATTGCTTCACACCTTTTAAAATGGCTATTACCAAAAAGACAAAAGATAACAAATGTTGGCAAGGATATGGAAAAAGAATTCTTATACAAAGTTGATGAAGATGTAAATTAGTGCAGACATTATGGAAAACACTATAAAATTTCCTCAAAAAACTAAAAACGGAATTACCATTATGATCCAGCTATTCCACTTCTGGGTACATAGCCAAAAGAATTAAAATCAATATGTCAAAGAGATATCTGCACTCTCATGTTCATTGCAGCATTTCTCACAATAGCTAAGATAAGGAATCAACCTGTGCCCGTCAATTGATGAATGGATTAAAAAATGTGGTGCAAATGCTATTTAGCCTTAAAAAAGAATGAAATCCTATTATTTGCAACAACATGATAAACCTGGAGAACACTGTGCTAAGTAAAATAAGCCAAGCTCAGAAAGACAAATACTGCATAATCTTACTTACATGTGGAATATAAAAAAGTCAAACTCACAGAAGCAGAGAATAGAATGGTGGTTTCCGGGAGCTGGGGGTGAGGAGGGAGGGAATGGGGAATTGTTGGTCAAGGTTATAAAGTTTCAGTTGGACAAGAAGAATAAGATTTTGACATCTATCGCACAGCATGGTGACCATAGCTAATAATAATGTCCTGTATATTCCCAAATTGCTAAAAGAATAGATTTTAATTGTTCTCACTACAAAAATGATAAGTATTTCAGGTGATAGATATGTTAATTAGCTGATATAATCATTCCACAATGCATATATATATCAAAACACCACATTGTACCCCATAAATATATACAATTATTTGTCAATTAAAAATAAAAATTTAAATTAAAAAAATAAAGGAAAGATTAGGAAAAAAAGAATTTTGATTTTATTTCCTCTTTTGAATAATTCTGCATTTTTACATAACAGATTTGCTTTTTAAAAACAAGGCACATTTATACACTAAAGCAAACTTTACCAAATTAAATTTAGAGCTTAATATATACAACCTTAATTTTTTAATTTCATTATATAATAGGACATCTCCTAAAATTGAACCATATTTTATGTCAAATGCTCCTGGACCTTCTAACTTTTCAAGCATTTGGTTTATGGCAGCAGTCTTCCCAACACCAGATTCTCCTAAGGGGAAATATATATTAGGTTAGATTTATATGAAGAAAATAACACACGTTAACCTATTAAAATGAACCAATAACATTTTCCTTCATTTGAAAATTACATGAAAAATATTTTTATTCTTTCCTTTCAAAAATGTGGTTAAGAGTGGCTAAATCAGGAAGTTGATATGAAACCCTCTCAAATTGTTTGAATTGTTTATATTTTTTACAAAAGTATGGATTAGGAGTTAGCCATTATTTTTATCTAACGTTCATTTAAGCCTATCACAAATCTTTTTGCTTATAGCCCAGTAGAACTACTACATGAAATGAAATTCCTCGAAAATGTTTGCTAACACAATGCGAGGGAGAAATTTGATGATAAACTGCTTATTGAAGCAGAACAATAATTCATGAGTTTACCATTTGCTAAATATTAAAGTAAAAATAAGAATTTTCTTAGACCAAATTAGAGGCAAGATATGGGTTATGTGAGAGTTACACTGCCTGAATTCTTTGAATATGGAACTGGGAAACCAATACTATTGCCTCTGGTGATAGGCAACACAAGTTAGAGAATCAGAAAAAGTAATCAAAGAGTTGTAATAAGTTTTAAAGAGCAGGAGTGTACAGAATTACTTCTTTGATAATAGTAAAAGAAAAATTTTAACATTGGGTTGAGGAATCACGTGTAAATTTAATTAAACCAATTAATGTTACCAATAAGGACCTCAGTCCACAGGCCATGGAGGCCAAACATATATTAATCCAATAGTTCTACTTCTGGAATTTTCCCTGAAAGTAATGAAAAGATGAAAAAGATTTATAATGTCCTGTATTGGCAAACATGTGGGGAAGTGGGCAGTCATACACTGTGAGTAAGAATATAAATTGATACAGTCACCCAAACTTTTCAGGGCATATTTTTTCCCACTTACAAAATAATCTCTTAACCTTCTCCTAACTCTGAAATTATCTTCTGCTTAATATTTTTAATACCTGTGAGAAGAACAGGGCAGGAATTCTTTAAAAGAAGGCTCAAGAGAAAAGAAAGGCATGTTGTATCTCTCGTAGCGGTATAATTAACACCGTCTCTGTTTTCTGTTATCTTCAAGAGGTTTTCGCCAGATCCCTGACGATCAGTTAATAATGAAGTTCCTAAGTTAAAATAAAAGAGTTTCAAATAACCTAGAAAGAAATATTAATCTAATCTTTTAGGTACTCAACTTTCTGGAAAAGTCTGCAATTTTATTACAAAGCAATTTAAACATATACACATAAGCCAACATTGTTACAAGTGCCCGCAGTCTCTGCTGATTTCAGAAATTGTCCCTCTCACTCATAGTGTCAGCTGGCAAACTCACTGCACACATTCCCAAGTCTGCCGTAAACAAACAGCATGACTTTCCGACCACCAAACCTGCTAATCTGCCCTTATATGCAATCACCTCTTCCTTCTGCCCTCCTGTAAGAATGAAAGTAAGCTCTTCTGCCAAAGCCTCCTGCAATCCTTTTTTAAGAACTTCGCTTCGTTGGTAACCCTACTCCCCCACCATTATCAGTCTCTTGCTTTTAATTGGAATTTTTTATCATACAAACATGTATGTGCTAGTATATCCAATCTTTTCATTGATTGAACGATGTGAAACTGATATTTTTAAAAGTAAAAACCAGTTGAATATAGGCAATTTAATATAAAACACGCACACACACACACACACACACAAACACACCCCTCAAACCAAACCTCTCTGGATCCTACAGCTTTCTATAAATACTACCCCACCCCAATTCTCTCCCCCATTACATGCCCAAAACTCAAAAGAGTTAAGTACAACATAGCCTTACATCCTCATTTGTTATTCTTTTTTTAATTAAAAACTTAGTTGAATAGCTAATACATTTACATGGTACATAACTTGAAAGTATATAAAGGTTCTTATTCCTGTATCCAAGCCACCCAGTTCCCATATGTTGTATATTAGTCTGCCATTTCCTTTTTTTTAATTTGGTGCATTTGAGAGATCCTTCAATATCAGTAATTTCTTTTCTGATTAATATTATTCCATTTAATAAACGTATTACAAATTTTTCACCAGTGCTCCAGTGATGGTGGACATCTATGGTGTTTCCAATATTTTACTATTACAAATAAAGCTGAGTTTATGTAATACGCACATCATATTGCATATATGTGGAATAATTTCTTATAAGCGGAGTTGCTGGGTCAATATAAATGGGCCTAGGATTTATAATTTTGATAGACATTGACAAATTGCCCTCCAGTGTTTGAGAGTCTGTATCCTCACATCTTTGTCAAATGTATCACACTTTTCTGATTCTCACCAATATTGTAGGTGAAAAACTGTATCTAATTCTAGTTTAATTCACATTTCTCATATTATGGGTCAACTCTTTTTATATTTGAGAGCCATATATTTTTCTGTGAACTATATATTTATATTCTTTGCTCATTTTTATAGAAAATGGGCTTCTGGTCTTTTAAAATTTGATTTGTAGAGGCTCCTTATATAGTAGGAAAATTAGCCCTTGTGATATGACATCATTTATTACCTGTTTTATGTATTAATAGTTGAGTATATCTATGTTTTCTTGCTGACTTCTATAATTTGTGTCATACATAGAAAGATCACCTTCACTCCAAGATTATTTAAAAATTCTCATGTAATTTCTTCCAATACTTTCATGCTTTTTTAAAAAAACATTTACTTTTAATTTTTAATTTACCTGTTACCTGGTTGAACTAATATCATTTGTTGAATAATCTACTCCCATAGGAGAGGGATACTAAAATGTAGAGTTATATGTAAATCATAATCAGTTATACTTTTTCTATATAGTGGTAAAAAGCTTAGGGTAAAAATAATTCAATATTAGCTCTAACATATGATATACAATTCAGAGCTTTCAAATAAATATAATCACCCACTTATATTTATTGTGACAAAATATTATATAAAATAACCTTGGTATTTCCAACTGAAACAAATTTAGAGTTAGAACATTCTGGTAGTTATGGTTGCTTTCTG